TGTGGGGAAAAGGGAACACTCCTGCACTGCTGGTAGTAGTATAATCTGGTACAGCCCCTTTGGACTTCAGTGTGGCAATTTCTCACAAAATTAGGAAACAACCTTCCTCAAGAACCAGCAATATAATTTTTGGGTATATACCCAAAGGGTGCTCAATCATACTACAAGGACATGTGCTCAACTATGTTAATAGCAGTATTGTTTGTCATAGCCAGAACCTGGAAACAACCTAAATGTCCCTTGATTAAAGAATGAAAAAGAAAAATGTGGTACATTTCCACAATGGAGTACTACACAGCAGAAAAAAATGACATCTCAAAATTTGCGGCAAATAGATAGATCTAGAAAACATCATATTGAGTGAAATAACCCAGATCCAGAAAGACAATTATCATATGCACCCACTCATAAGTGGCTTTTACACATAAATCAAAGAAAAAAATGCCAGGCTAAAATTCCATGTCTCACAGAGAACCTAGACAGTGAGGATCCTAAGAGAGGCATACTTGGATCTAAATGACATGGGATATAGATAAAAATAAGATCTTCTGAGTAAATTGGGAACCCAGGGACCATGGTAGAAGGTAGCAGGGGAGGGGAGAGGAAGGTAGAGGAGTAGAGAAAAAATATAAAGTCAATAAAAACAAAAAATTAAAATTTGAAGATTAGAAACAAAAAGAAAATAAGAATTCATCAATAGTTATACTTAATGGCCAAAGCTGAAAACCACTCTACATTATCTTGCTCTCTCTCAGGAAATATAACATACATTATTGTTAAATATTGAGATGTCCTCAAAAAATAAAAACAATTTTTATAAAAGAAAGTCTAATTTTGAGGGAAAAGCTCAGGGCGAGGCTGTTGGCATCAAGTGTCAGATGAGATCATGGGGAGCAGATCCTTCTTCTTCTTCCCCACACTCCAGCTTGACCCAGACAGTTCTTCCTTTATGAACGTCCCTCTCAAAAGATGTTCCTTCTTTTGCGGGTTGTTGGCAGGTGCTCTGAATAAACAATGGGCTTCTCTAAGACTGGACTTTATGACATGAGGGCGGGTGTTCTGACATGCTGGGGAGTCTCCTTTCAGCTGGGCTCTCCCCCTTCTGTTCCCACTTGCTGGTTACAGGCAGTGGACAGGAAAGGTTAGGTCAGTGCAGAGAAGGACTTCCAGAGGCGGTCTCTGCTCTCCTGAGCCTGACCTGGGCCTTGGACTCTGAGCTCAGGAACTTGTCATCTGTCCTGTTTGCCCATTTACCTGGGCATCAGATCTTCTTTCTCCTGGGTTTTCTGGTCTTGAGAATCACTCCTGGTTCCTGTGGCCTGGTATCTTCTGTCCCCAGATAAGTGAGTTGACTAAACAGGATGTGATCCTTCCTTGAACCTGACAGAGCTAGAGTGTCCTTTTCCTGACTCTAAGTATCAGCTACCTGGAACTCAAATGTACAGTAATTGCCCCACCCTGGGTTGGGTGAGCTGAGTGTGTGTGTGTGTGTGTGTGTGTGTGTGTGTGTGTGTGTGCGCGCGTGCGCGTGTAGGGGTTGGGGTGGGGTTGAGAGTGAGGAGGGTGGGGATGGGAGTTGGGGAGTGGCCTCCATTACTCAGTTGGCTTTTCTCCTGATCCCTATTGCTTGTCTCTGCTCACTTCCCTGCCATTGGGGAAACACACGACTGTCAAGGGATCGTTCCACTTTTCCTGATCTCAGGCTTTCCTCTGCCTAGGCTTGGGGATTGCGCTCCATCAGACTTTGTGATTGACTGCCCATGGGTTTGGACAACACTTTCCTTTGCTTCTGGTAAGAGGGAATTATCTGAGCCCCTGTCTGAAGCTATAAAGTTAAAGGGTGGGTAAGATGAATGATAGAGGTTTTGTTAACGTTACATAATCTCAGTTTAAAACAAGGATGATGAGATTGAGTGTCTTAAGACTGAACTTTGAAATAACTGATGACCAGCTGTCCTGCTAGCTGTACAGCATGAATAGGTTAAAGCCTGGACTCTGGAAATCACTGTCCTTGGCTGCTAGTTATTAAGGCAGTTCATATGCTCCACTGCCCAATTAAGGGAAGGTGGCATGGTGATGTTTCAGCCTACATCAATGTGGTCTAGATGCCATGTTGACATACCAGATGAACCCAGGGTCTTTATAATTTCAATATAAAGAAAAAATCACACAATCCAATGCTAGGAAAGATCTGAGCTTATCACAGCCCTTATATCAGCCTGATGAGTGACCATCATCAGGTCATACCTACTGTGAGAAAGGAGAAGGGTCCTTTGGAATATAAGCAGACCTGTGCTTGTCATTGGCCATCTGGTCAACTATCAAGCTGACTTTTCAAACTGGATTGCCATCTGTATTTTGTACTGATTAGGGAAAGAACCTATAGTCCCACCTATGGGAATATAATAATAGAACTTTTGACAAAAATACATATAGCAAGGACATGGCTGCCTCGATGTATGGCTGAGGGGAAGGTTTTTATTGTAGGTGTGAGGGATGAACAGTCAGAGACACCTGGAAGAGTCCAGAGCAGGAACAGAAATTAGAAGATTAACTCAAAGAAGCGGGGAGTGGGGAGAGGAGAACAAGGGAAGAGAACAGAAGTGAAGAGGAGAGAAGAGAAGAGGAGAGGGGAGAACCAAAACAAGAGGTCAAGGGTGGGGGGCGCATGGATGAAATGGCAGGGTTATAGAGGAAGGAGAAGCTGGAGAAGGAATCCCATGAGCTGGAGAGGTTTAGGGGCAGGGTTAGCAGATCTGAGAGAAGCCACAGGAACTGTGTGAGCTTAGGGACCAGCTTGTGCTTTCAAACACTAATGGCATCACAAAGAGCCCTTTGTGCCTAGTTTCTTTTGGACCTGATAAAAATGGCATGGTAGCGAGTTGAAAACCAAGCTCAAGGGCTTAGAATGCTATGTAATGATATTTAATTGGTGAAGATGTCATCCAGACTTTTTATATCTGATTTTGAACATCATCCCACATCCTCAGTAAGAGCTAGAAGTCATTTGGGCCCAAACAGGGCTAAATATATATTTGATCACTCCCTCATTCCCTATGTACTCATGGAGACAGCGGAACTCGGGCACATTACTTCAACCCTGTACCTCATTTCTCTCCACTGACACCATAGAGGCTGATATTATTATTTCTCTGGGTGCAAATGAAGATGACATGGTCCCGTCTTTACTTGTGACACCAGCGACAATGATTATTGCAGCATTTCCTCTCATTTTCTAATTCTCTGCTTAGTTTTGCTTGGTTATGGAAATAAATAAAAAAGCTTCTCAAATTATAAAATAACTTGGTCTTAAGAATAATTGCTAATTAGCATGAGATATATATTTTGGACTCAGTAGGATACCAAGATATAGGACAGACTTTGGGGTACAGTGGCGAGTGTGTTGACTCAAGTTTGGGTTCTCTTCCATGTAGCTTGTTCTCTCTGTCTAAACTCCCTTCCCAGGGTCACTGTTCAAGGTTGCCTATTCACTCTCTTGCAAGACCTCATTTCTCTGTTCCCTAGGAGTGTGTTAATTGCCATGTGTTAGCTCTGCAAGTCTCTCTGTTAATCTCCTGGGTCTCTTGTAATTTCTTATGTCCATTGTGTTTTATTGACTAAATATTCCCGATTTTTCTGGGGAGCAGTACATTTATCAAGCTTCCCTTTGATCCACGTCTGGGAGTTCCTTCTTCCAGATTAGCCAGGTTGTCATTCTTTCTTACCAAGGACAGGGTCACTTGGTTGACGCCTCTGTAGATACAAGTTATCTTTATTATTCGTTATTGCTTTTCTCTTATTTGGACTTTATTCAAATTCTTCTCAGAGCTTCAGTTGGACCCTCTGTATCACATTCTGCTTCTTTGTTGTCCATTTCCCCAGGCTATGATAAAAGGGGGAGTGAGAGGGATTAGGCAGTGTGAATAAGCATGATTTCCAGATTGCTTTTCATGTTATTTTACCATAATATGTTTTCAAAGCTACTCAGGTTTCTCCTTTCCTTCCTTCCTTCCTTCCTTCCTTCCTTCCTTCCTTCCTTCCTTCCTTCCTTCCTTCCTTCCTTCCTTTCTCTCTTTCTTTCTTTTCTGTTCCTTTTTTTGCTTCTTCAGCTTTTGGTTTTTCAAGATAGTGTTTCTCTGTAGCTTTGGAGCCTGTCCTGGAACGAGCTCTTGTAGACCAGACTGGTCTTGAACTCACAGAGATCTACCTGCCTGTGCCTCCTGAGTGCTGGGATTAAAGGCGTGCCCCACTACCGCACAGCTAAATGAATTTCCTATATTTGTAAACTATTTCAGGCATGTAGAAAAGTAAAAGAGCCACAGACAAGCTATTTGTGAGCATGTCTTTGTCACATTGGTGGCACCTGCTGTGACTTATAAGGTGAGATAGTAAAAAGTGAGTTGGTCACAAAGCATTGCCTTTCATTTCTCTCCCTGCCTTTCACCCTTTCTCACTGCTCTGGATTCTTCCTTCATCCTTCCTGTGTGTGTTCATATCTCTACGTGTGAGTCTATATCTCACATCATTACTATTATGCTTTTGAAATCTGCTTGTATTAAGCTGTGGTGCTAATTTCTTTAAATTCATCACTATGGTTGGATATCTAGATGTTTTCATTTTTTATATAAATCACAGTGGTAGACATTCCTGGTCTGTCTCCTTTTGCACAACTGTGTGATTTCCTGTAGATTAAGGATATACACATATGAGCATAATTGACTTCCAGGGCAGTTCTAGATTGGTCTCAATCTGTCCTAGATCCTGAAGAATGCTACTTGGAAGGGTAAGGGCTGCACTAAATCACACTCCCACCAACCATATGGTTTAGTAACTAAGTGCCTGGTCCTTATAGACTCACTGGACCTTTACTTTTGTATTAATAGAAAAAGTAGTACTTCTGTCTCATTGCTTTAATATTCTTTTAACTAAGGCAGGTGGTGGTGCACACTGTTAATCCCAGCATTCTGGAGTCAGAGGATGGCAGATCTCTGTGAGTTCAAGGCCAGCCTGGTCTGCAGAGTGAGTTCCAGGACAGCACGTGCTGCACAGAGTAACTCTGTCTCAAAAAAAACCAAAGAAGACGAAGAAAAATATGCATTTTCCTGATTCTAGCATAGCTGGCAGTGTTTTCAGTAAAAGGTAATAGCCTATGATTTGTCTGTCTCTTGTTTATCAGTCTGCCATAATCTTCTATTGATTGATTCATGCATCTTTCAACTGTCTTTTTATTTATCATCTATATTTTCTTGTCTGTCATCTATCCACCACCTATTAGTCTTCTATCATCTATGTACCGATCACTTGTCTATTTTCTATTCATAATATATACTGTTTATTTGTCATCTAATATCTCTCTGGTGTATCTATCAATCAGCTTGTAATTTATCTATCATCTATCCATCTCTATCACTTATATGTAGTCTAGCATGCATGTTTTCATCAATCTATCACTGGTCTTCTATTTATATACTATATAACTTACATAATTTGTATTGTATATCTTTTTGGTATACTTATCATTTATCTGTCATCTACCTTTGATTTAAAAATCACATATCATTTCCCTAAAACCTACCATATATCTATTTATAATCTATTATCTATCCCTCATCTATCTGTCTATCTATCTATCTATCTATCTATCTATCTATCTATCTATTTATCTATCTATCTATCTTTCATCTACTGTCTATCATCTATCATCTATCTATCTATCTATCTATCTATCTATCTATCTATCTATCTA